ACTTAAATGTTCGACGACGTGCCATCTCACACTTAATATTTTACGCCATTTCTCAAGAAGCAATCAGCTGAGAATCTTCACCATCAGCTCATTGTGAGTGGACAGCACATAATAGCATGAGTGCATGAGTGACCAATCTCATCAATTTCATTCGTTTTCGGTCGAAGTTATGCTTCGCATACAGTCTCCAAATGAGACCATCCCGACGCTGGTGATGTCTCACTCACACCCGTCATCGTCTTGACCCAAAATTCCCCGCCATTCACCAAGCCACTTGACTGACCCCGAAGGGCCTCTTGTGTCTCCATTGGCTTGCTCTTTGGTTTCTTCATCGTCATGTTCTTCATCTCTCTCATTCCCCCACAATCATAGATGGGAGAAATGGTGAAGAGACGGAGGAAGTGAGCGACATCTGTCCTCCTCATCACCCGCATGCTGGCCGTCTCGCTGCTCAGTCTTGACCCCTCGCAAATTGGTACGGTATGCCCTTCTCATGTGCTCAGACTAGGTCGTGAGCCCCTCCGGATCTCTCGCTGATGACGATACCCTCACATCGTCTATCACGCCGTCGCCCCCGTTGTCTCCTTCCACAAGTCAATCACCATATTCGCAATATTCTGAATAGCCTCCGGCGCGTTCGGCAGATGATGGCCGCCCGGATACCTCACAACCTTGCGCGTACTCCGCTCAGAACACTGCTCAATCAACATCTCGCTCGCCGGCTTCCATGGATCAAACAAGCCCACCACATGAACAGTTGGCAACCGAATCAGCACGTCGTCAGGCACAAAAGGCGGATACGTCCCGCATAGAAACACCCCAAAGAAGTTGTACGGCACAAACGGCTGCCGCTGCTGCTCAATCAACAGACTCGACGCCGCCCGCGCGCCCTGCGAAAAGCCCAGCACGCCGACGTAGGGCCCCGTCTGCTGCACGTACACCTTGAGCATCTCCATCGCCGTGTCTTTTTGCTGCTGGAACTCCTCGGCGGGGATGGAGGGATCGTCGCTGACCCATCGTCGGTACGGCCCGCATCCCTCGAATACGGGGAGTACGCCCGGCCCGGCCTCCGTCTCGATCGGCCCGTCGAGGTAGACAAATTCGAACCGCGGCTCGAGGACGCGCGATAACCTGATCAGTTGAATCTGGAAGATGCCTGCCGAGGAGCCGCCTCCGTGCAGGCAGAGGATCTTTGGCCGTTCCCGCGGCGCCTCATTGACTGCGTACGGCTGATACATGGTCTGACTCTACCGGTGTTGCTGGCGCGCTAAAGAAATACCCGAGAAGCAACCAAGGGGAGTGGCGTGTGGCGAGTGAATGTGACTCCAGAGAACGGACGAGGTAGCGAACGACAGATGCGGCCTTGAGTGAGAACTGTAGAGTGAAGTGAAGGATGTTTCTTCCAAAGACCTCCTCACACAGCGTGCGTGGTGCGACTGAAGTGAAATGTGACTGACGGGGATGCAGGTAATATGAGAAAGAAAGTGGATCATATGCTCGCTCCAGCCTCCAGTTCCCAGGCCCCCCACGGCCCCCAAAGCACTCGGCCGTTTCGGGCTTCTGCCATCTTGAACCTCCGACGCCCGGCCCCTGGTCTCATCTTTCCGGTTCGCCTTACATAAGCGTAAACCAAACTCTCATCTACCATCTGGCCAACCAAGTCGTCTCTAGGAACTCTATCAGGCAGCATCAAGATTACATGGAAACGTTCTAGTCTGACTCGGGTGGTTGGTGTTGAACTTTAAGACATGCACTGCTGGAAGACAGTTCAACACTCGCCCGGTTCGGATCCGGCTTAAGACACCACCCCACACGACGGATCACCCCCTACGACGGATCACCCAATTCGGCCACATTCAGCCAAAACCGCTATTCCATATATATATAAATAATTAAAGAATAAATATTTCAAAAAATACACAAGCTATAAAAAGATATAATTAGTATAGAAAAATATTTTAAAAAATTATTTTTATATTATATTATATAATAATATTAGATTTAGAATATGCTTTTAAATGTTAGTGTTTATTAGTAATTCCCATATAAATACTAACATTATACTATATTATATAACTCTTTTATTTATTAAAAAAATAGAATTTTAAAGTTAATTATTTTTAATAGATTTATATTAAACTTATATAAATAGTTTTTTATTATTAATATATGTATTATTATATAGAAATATTAAGTTATATTATAATAAGTAGTATCTATAAAAACTTGAATTTCCTAAGCTTATATAATTAGTATAACGCTAAAAATAGTATATTTAAGCTTAGAAAAATATTTTAAAAATTTTAATATTTTAAAATACTTAACTTTATTTATTTTTCATAAAGTTAGAAATCGTATTTTTATATAATAAAAAATATTATATTTAACTTAATAATACCTTAGTAATTATAATAAATCATAATTTATAAAAATTACTTTAGTAAGAAAACCATATATTCTGTATCTAAAAGTAGTTTTTATATATTTTTTATATTATAAAATGAAGTAGGTAGAATTAGTGGTTTTTGACTGAATTGTACCGAATTGGGTGATCCGTCGTAGGGGGTGATCCGTCGTAGGGGGTGATCCGTCGTGTGGGGTGGTGTCTTATCCGTTCGTTCGATGCGTAACCATAGTGGTGGTTTGGTGATGTGGTGATGTCGGTTAAGTATTCGTAGTCTTAAGAAACAGTAAATCTGCCAGTTCTACAAGGTGAAAGAGGCGATGGAATTATTTGAAGCTTCTTCTGCCATCACATTAATATAAGATTAAATGTTTCGATCTGGTTGAAATACTTGCTCTCCACTGTCACGTTTTGTGAGGTATGTGTACCGTTATTGGTCTTTGTAGTAATTCTTGGATCTATGGAGCTAAGTATGCTAGCGCATAAGAATCTTGATTTGGTTTACTACCACTCTGCTATCTTTGGGAACAGTCGCAGCTTAGAGTGTAAATCCTCCGTCTCAATAGTCTCTACTTCGCAAATCAATCGTAGGGCACGGCGATCTGCGACCTGTTGCCATGGCTTGATAACGGCCCCGGGAATCTCCAGTTGCCATGTCGCTGCAGTCGTGAGTTTCGCTATGTTATCTTCTCCAATATCGAATCGAAGAGAGAATGAAAATGGCTCCGTTGGACTGAAGACTTCCATTGTTTCGAGCTTGGGCATATGCGTTGCCGCCATTCCTGCCGCCGATATCAAGAAATTCGTCCCCGCGAAAGAAGTCGAATAACATGATTCGTCAAGGCCAAATGATTAAGGCACGGCCAACGACGTGGGTGTTCTGGACCGTTTTTCGGGGCACCAGTAGATGGAGCTTTGATGTGCTTTGCGAAAAAGTCGATAGCGTCGATGACGTTGGGCAATGCGACTCGTTCACGCCGGTAGCTCGCCTCCAAAGCCGCGGAAATAAGACTGTAGCTGAGCAATCTGTATTGACTGAGGTCTAAGGGGAATGTCTCGATTAGTGCGTTCCAAACGGTCAGCGTTTGTATCCTGGGGTTATCCATCACGGCTCGAAGGATACTTTCGCTGGCCGCCTCATCCGTCCACCACTCGTTTCGACCAAGCGCAGGCCAGTACATATATCCAAAATATTGTATATAGCGCAGGCTTGAGACCATCTTTGCCAAAAACTCCACTGAAAAGCTTCGGTAGTGTTGCCGGTCAACGGAGAATCTCTCAATGATAGAAACTTGTGGTAATCCCTGAGCTTGGAAATCGGGGTCTGAGAAAGTGCTGAGAAGACGCTTTTTGGCATCCAAAGTCCGGTTCGCCTGTGCCCGGTGACGAGAGTATTGATGAAAGACGCAGGGGGGCATGCTGTCGCTGTCGGCGTTACAGCCAGCACAAAATTCCAGTGCGATATGGTGTTCAGGTGCTGCTTTTCCCCATTGCGAAAGCACTCAAAACAAGGCTGTCAACGCTTTTTTGGCTACCACATTGATTGCCGCCACCGTATCGACTTCCTATCGCTGATTATGTTCTGCGCCGGTGAACTCCGCTGTCCCGATGAGGAGGGTGATATTCCTGACAAGCTTTACGGTAGCCTCTCACAACCTGGTCCATGCCACCGATTTCTCTTCTATCCCATCGACTGCTACAAGGCGACAGTACAATAGTCTCCAGCTTTTCTCCAAATTCTTTGAGATATGAATTTTTCGATTTGCGGATATAGTGGAAATAAATCGGAATAACGCCTGATTAGTTCTTCCCCCGCACTCGGATGTACTGTCGCCTTGCAGCAGTCGATGGGATAGGGCCGGATGCTCAAACTTTCAAAAATTACAGGTTTAAAGAAATATTGCCATTCCTTCGAGACGCTGAACCAACGTGCCATCTCGTGTCTTTCATTAGCCAGCGGCGGGAGATTCTCGAGTACCTTGAGCCGGAGCTCTTGGGGCAAAGCCTTCCACAATGGATGGATAGAGCCATGTGCGTTTCGACAATTGGTTTCGGATTGCTCAATCGAGCCGATGGCAAAATTTGAACACAGCGCCATTGTTTATTAGGGCGGTCCTTTAATTAACTCTGTGACGAATAATTAGTTTGAGGTCGGAGGCCGGGTTTGGCGCTTGGTATTCACATTCTGGTGTTGCGTTTTCTTTCGTATTTGCGTGTTTAGTTTTCTTTCTGTTCTGTTGCACAATGAAAAAACTAAAAGCCCGTCACAAACTTATACTGCGCACGGAAAGCTGTCAGTCCAACACCCGGAAGGGCAGGACCTTGATATAGTTCGACGCCTGGGCGGACTCCTAGGATTTGAATGGCCAACCCGATCTCACCTTTAGCCAGGCTCCGGCGTTCAGACATGTCCATCATATTTCACTCGCTTCATGGTTCTCAGCAGATCTGATGCATCAGCCTTCTGAGTATACTAAAACAATTAAGCCACCTCAACATGAGCAGGGAAACGCTCGCCATTTTCGATGTTCTGGTCAACAAGCTAGGTACTAAAGTAGGCAGAACTCCCAATCTCCGTCCGCTCTCTGTGACACGACTATGTTGAGTATTTTCCCTGAATAAAAGGTGCCTTCTCGAGAGCCTGTGCCTGGATATGCCAAATTCTCCGACCCTTTCGCACAAGCTGATCACCAAACTTATCAAGTACTTCCTCGACATCAGTCAAGTTCTTGCGCCTAGCCTCATGAAAGTCTTCCTCAGACCCGAATGTGGCCGCTTGCCATATGTGTTTCCAGCGAGAGACAGCCTGAATGGCCAAGGGGCTTTGGCTCTGAACTCTCGTAGCCACCATGTAGAATGAGGAGCGCTTGTTGTGACCAGTCGTCGGCTTGAAGGTCTTGATATCGGAGAACTGAGAAAAACAGTACAGCTCACGAACCGTGCCCCAAGCCTCCATCTTGTGGAAGAGTACAACCATGGTTCCGCCGGGTCTGAGCCGCTCGAGGCCGAGCGCAAGCTGGCTGGTGGTCAGTCGCTGAGACTCGCTCTCATGTCGATACGAGGCACGCTCTTGCTTGTGCACCACTGTTCCTCCACAGATGACCAGATCGAATTGTTGACCGGGCATGAACTGGCGAGGGAGGAACTTGGCAAAGTCTGGATGATCGGCGGGAATGTCATGGATGCCCATGTCCGCAGCGAGCATGGTGACGTCGACGTCTCTGCGGTCGATATCAAGGTTGTCGGGTATCATGACCCTGTGGCCCCCATCAAACTCGGGAAGACTGAAGCCCATCGCTTGCGCACCTGTGTTCAGATACATGGCCGTCGCGAGGAAGCCGCCAGGCGCCAAGCCCATGTCAAGGATCTGTGTCTTGCCCCAGCTAGGAGTTTTGACTTTGAGGGCGCTCGTGTTTCTTTGCATCTCTTGGCCGATTCTCTTCATCATGTTGTAGAAAGCTATCGTAGCCCGATCGGTAGGATTTTCGGCAACACGACGCTGGTTCTGAAAGAACGTGTCACCTGCAGGGTTCTCCCATCCCTGCGAGTCGCGGCCGGTGATTAGCATTCTTCCAGCGAATACACAGGGCTACCTACGAACCTTCTTGCGCAAGTCGCGGACTTTGACAAACTCCGGGGAGTTCTTTTCGAGATAGTCATGAATGAGCGCGCCCGGACTCTCCCAGTCTTGGTCTGATTCACGACACACCCGCGGCTCGGTTGTGGAAGCTTCCATTACCACCGGCGAGGGAGTTTTGTCATGACTGCCGAAATCTTCGGTGGCTGCCGCCATTTTACGAGCCGTGTTGAAATACAATCTTGGTTGACTTCAAGTAAACTGGTGATGACGGGGACATGAATACAGAAATAATTCAGAGGTCTTGATTCGGTTGATGAAGATAATAGCGGTGTCTGTGATATGCCATCACGTGCCTTCGCGCATATTCCAGACCTTTATTTGGAATATACTGAAGCCTGAAGGAAATCGTCGCAGCCTGATGTTTGAGAGCCAGCCAGTAACTGCCCGCCCTCCTGCTTTGAACAGCTGGGTTGACGGCCTTCTGCATCTTCTTTGCCTTCAACCAATGAGGCCTGATTCATCTTCGAACGAAACGCGCATCACATTTGAGACTTGCGCTAGTACGTACTGGCCGAGAACACGCATAGATGTCAAGAGCTGGTAGACAATTGCCATGTTCTTCGAATGTAAAAGCACAGGGCTCTGTTATTAACGGAAGTCGAAACTAGTCTCTCTGATTGCCATCTCGCACTATCAGCGTACTAACACTCCAAGACTAGAGATCATTTCAGGCTTCCATCTACCAGCTGGATACCAGAGTTCGATGCTCGCCGGGTTGTCTCAGTCGGGAGCACGCAAGCTGAGTCTGCACACTCGAAGTTACTGGGGTTCTACTACCAGTGAAATACTTTAGATAACAATAGTAGTGGCACAGGCCGTATCTAGACATCTTGATCTAAGTTTCTTGCATTTCCGGCTTCGCAAGTCATTCAGACTTAAGAAGGTCTCTACTCGAGTGCCAAACGCCCTTGGCGCCTCTTACAATCTCGTAACGTCCATCATACAGAGGGTATACAACAACAGCGAAGAAAGCAAAGAACTGCCAGATGATCGCCACCGTTGTCCAGCTCTTAAAGAAGGTCTTCTCAAAGATGTAATCGCGATAAAGCGGCATTGGCCAGAGAATGAAGGTGACGAGTACAATGGCGATGAATATGTACCAGGCGATGCGGTACCAGCGGTAGAGCAACTTGATAGTATCGTCGTCGAACGGGTGGCGAACATCATCCAGGTTGACTTCACCTGCCAGCGAGGTATCTTTGGAAGAAACCGCGGGAGGGAAGTTGTCGCCTGCAGCAGCGGCGGTATTCTTCTCCGAATCACCCGACTTTTCAGGGTCAAATAGGGAAGATGCGGGTGGTTCTCCTTCCGAAGTCGACGAAGTATTCCCGTCATTGTTCGCCTCCTCTTTTTCGCTGCTCTGCTTCAACTGATTCTCTTCGGCAATCTCAGCAACAAGAAATCTTCTCCAATCGAACTTTTCAGGTTTGTATAAAGACAGAAGCACCGAGTAGAGCGCAGGCGAGAAGAAAGATCCGATTGCTCCGTAAAGAGCTGGTAAGCTGCCTTCTGTGGTCTTCATGTTGATCTCGCCGTAAATGACATGTGCTGTTCCGAGCCAGATGCCTAATCCCGTGAGGAAACCAAGTATTGGGGATACAATCGCGGCTAGGCGTGTCTGGCCTGACCAGCACAGAGTCAAGCCAAGCGGAATGATGCCCGGGCATGAGAGAATCGGACGGAAGTAGCCAATCCAGGTCATATCGGCGCCTCCGTAGTTCAACGCAAGTGAGATAGCCGTAATAAACACGGCATGAAAAACCACTGTAAGATGGCTGACGTGGACCAATTTCTTGTCAGATGCTTTGGGATTGAGGTACGTTTTGTAGACGTCAAAAGATAAGATGCTGCTGACTGCGATCATCGACGAAGAGACGGTGCTCGTCAGCGCCATGAATACAAGAACGAGGAAAGCGTCGATGCCCTGGTCGCCGATGAGAGCTTTGATGGTGTACGGCATGACAAGTCCAGCGTTGACCTGTGCCGATGTAAATTCATGCGGGTAGCCTGGCCAGATTGGAGTGTTGTGCAGTGCTCTTGCAGTGAGACCGATGACTGTACCGAGGCCCCATGGGATACCAAAAATTGCTACCGCAGCCAGGTTGTATCCGGGAACAGTTGCGTTCACTTCCGTCGCAAATGACTTTTGCCAGAAAGCGGTGTCCTGCCATTTCGATTAGTATCAACATCCATGTCCACATGCACGCAATCACTCACCATTACGACAAGTGCCAAGTTTCCAAACTTCAAGATTAACCCCCAAATGATCGCATCTCGAGACTTCATCGTGAGCAGAGAGCCCTTGTAGTTACCGTCAATCAAGTTCTCTGAAGCCGTGGCCACCACCTTGTCGTACAGTCCACCAAGACCACCAACAGCATCGTGGGTGAGGACCTTGAGTGTAAAGTAAATGATGAGAATCAGGGCGATGAGAGTGTGCAGATAGTCTGTGATGAAGGTTGCTTTCAGTCCACCAACCGCGGTGTAAAGTACGACTGAGTTGGTCATAGTCAGCTCATGCCTGCATTTGGTTCAAAGATATTGGAACGACCAACCTCCAAGTGGAATGAGAATCGTGGTGGCGACAAAATGCATGCCCGAGATACCGTAGATGAGTTGTGACCCGGTGAGGATCATACCAGCACAGCCGAAAACGTTGTTCGTGATGTTGAGGATAATGAAGACAATGTGACCGATCCATCCGTATCTTAATCGAATGATTTCAAGTGAGGTATGCGCGTAAGGAACTCGAATCTTTGCCAAGACGCCGAGTGCTGCCATTAAGGCAATCTGGAAGCAGAGACCTGTTGACCACCACTGCTTAGAGCATCAGTAACAACTTCGCCTTTCGTAACATTGATGTAATTGCGCTCACAAAAGGCACAGCAAGGCCAAACTTGTAGCAGAATGCTGCTGAAAAGACTGTCTCATTGATCCACATCCAGGAAGAAAAAACAGCCGATGCTGTTAAACCTGTCCCAACGGACCGATTGGCCACCATGAACATTTCGGAGGTGCCAGAGTCTTCTGCCAGGTAGGCCTTTTGGATCTTGACTGCTGCGAGAATGACACCACAGAAACCGATACCAAGGCCTATGAGCATTCCATAGCTGGTTGACTGAGGTATTAGGGTCTCCCCTGATACACCTAGTTGGACCGACATTGTGACAAGATCTTTGTCTACAAATTCCCTTCGTGCGAGCAGGTCGATTTGCGACTCGAAGAGATGGAAAGCGGAGGCTCAAACTTCGAATTTGGAATCCATTGCACAAGGCCAAGCAGAACTACTTTAACACAAGCCGCCTCCGCAAAGCTTGACTTCGAACCGAGATCGGTATCAAAAGGCCCCAGTTCTTGGTCACATCTTAGCTGCCCCGCATTGCGTTATGAACTCAACCCATGTCGGCAACTACGATTACTTAGTATACTTGCGGGCCGGGACTTGATAACATACGCCTGTAAGGTGGGATCTGTAGGGTAGACATACTTAGACTTTTGTTCGAATTTAAGCGATTCTGCCGGAGACATTGCTCGGAGGTTTGCTAGCTTGGCAGATCGCAATCGGTTGCGTGCGATGATGCAATCTGCAGACGAGCCACCCACAACTCATCGCGACAAGGCTATTGGATCAAAGCAGTTACAAGAATGCGCGCTATCGGCATTCCTTCGACTTGAGATAAGAGCATAAACTTACTTGGAGCCGGCATTGTTGATCGAAACAAATGGCAAAACAACCGTTTTTGAGGGGCCGTCTTCGCTAGAAATCAGAGACTGCAAGACACATAACATCACAACCAAGACCTTGGAAAAGTCTCATCATGGCCGATAACTCAAATCCTGCCACAGACCGGAATGGTTCCAGCGACAAGAAACAACTCATTCTCAATGCCTTTGTCATGAACACGCCCGGTCACCTGGCTCCCGGTCTCTGGAAACACCCCCGCAACAAGACAGACCAATACAAGAAGCTCTCTTTCTGGACCGAGCTCGCCCAGTTACTAGACAATGCCGGTTTCCACGCAATGTTTATAGCCGACACCCTCGGACCCTATGATGTGTACAAAGGACCGGCCAACGTTGTCCCAGCCTTGGCCTCCGGAGCACAGTTCCCAGTCAACGATCCGCTGTACCTCGTTCCAGCAATGGCGCAAGCCACGAAGAACCTCATTTTCGGAGTGACTGCAAGCTTGACCTACGAAAAGCCCTATTCGCTGGCGAGACGCCTTTCCACGGTGGATCATCTGAGCGAAGGGCGATTAGCCTGGAACATTGTCACCTCATACCTGGACAGTGCGGCCCGGAACCACGGCTTAGAGGAGCAGATCCCGCACGATGAGCGTTACGCGATTGCACACGAGTACCTCGAAGTTCTCTACAAGCTCTGGGAAGGCAGCTTTAGGGACGATGCAGTCTTGGCGGATCGCGAGGCTGGGACGTACATTGCCAGTGACGCGGTCAAGCAGATCCACCATAAGGGCAAGTACTTTGATGTGCCTGGACCGCACTTCGTTGAGCCTTCACCTCAGCGAACACCCTTCCTCTTTCAGGCGGGTGTGTCTGAAGCTGGAAACGGCTTTGGTGGTAGACATGGAGAAGCCATCTTCATCGGCGGCCAGACTGCGGAGGGTGTCCGAAAGACTGTCGATAATCTACGCAAGATTGCGGCGGAGGAGGGAAGGGATCCTAATCACATCAAGATCATCCTCGGCATCAACGTCATTGTGGCAGCGACAGATGGGGCGGCCGAAGCGCAGAAACAAGAGTACCTGAAATACGCGGACACCGAGGGTGCCCTAGCTCTCTTCGGAGGGTGGACAGGAATTGACCTTTCTGGATATCCAGATGATGAAGACTTCTCAGCGGCAGACTCTCCACGGATTCAGTCCATCATCCGACGTTGGTCAGATACCGTCCCTGGCACAGATAATCTCCCTTGGACCAAGCGAAGAATTGTGGAATACCTCAGTATCGGCGGTCTAGGTGCCAAGATAGTGGGTAGCCCTACCACAGTCGCCGATGAGCTGGAGCGTTGGGTCGAGGTTTCTGACGTGGATGGGTTCAACCTGGCGCACGTTACCAATCCCGGTACTTTTGAGGATATCATCGAGTACCTGCTCCCTGAATTGCGCAGACGAGGAATTTTCAGGTCCGACGTTGAGAAGCAGGGAGCTACGGCGAGAGAAGTATTTATTGGCTCGAAACGACTACCTGAGGATCATCCTGGAAGCAAGTACAAATGGCGCGCTGGTGAGACAGAACCGCCATTCCTGAAGCAGAGTAAACAAGCGTAAGGTGCTTAAGAATAATAACAGGGACGAAATTTCCTACTAGAGTAATTCCTCAGGAGGGCCTCTGTGCTTAGTGAATCTCGATAACTATTGCTAGCCTCCATAAGGCATTCAGCAAGTCGTCTGGCTGTGGACAAACTCCTTGGGAGAGAATGATGGATACATGAACCCGGAAACGCTGATCAGGTCTGTGATATTACCTGCAGGGCCATGCGAGGGGAAGAAGCTACTATCTGTTCAGTTTCTGATGGTCCCATATGAGAAGATGCTGGGCCGAGTTGGACTTACTGCGCATTGCCTGGTACTTTGTCTCGAGAGAGAGAGTTGAGAAGCTCCTGCACGGCTGCGTGATCAAACGTTTCAATAAACGCCAAGTTTCCATGGTCCGCATCAAAAACCGCCGACGAGCTTGTCTCAACTGGGCAAGATGGGATAACAAGGGCGTAGCCATGGTCCTCAGCGTGAATAGTGGCTTCCATGTCAACGAGAGCAAGCTGCAATTTGCTGTCTTTGAGCACATAGGAACCGCCACGTCTTTGAAAAACATAGTTTTAGTTGAGGTATTCTACTAGAAGAAAAGAGTTGAAGACTTACGGATAAGAGACTACTTGCTCTCCAGGGACAGTAGTGTAGTATCCCGCGGCATGCTCAGGCACAATGAGCCTTGCGCCTTGTGCGACATAGTCTACTACACCAAAGGCATGATCGTGATGATGGTGAGTAGGCTGTTGTACTTGGGTCAGCGATCCGGAGAAAAAGGCTTCTCAGATAGAATATTACAAACCCAGACATGTGTTATGTTCTTTCCAAGATTTGTCTGAACCCACTCAATGACGAGCTTGCTCTGATGCGGCGGAGCATCCAAGACAATAACAGACCCATCCTCAAGCTCAACCAAACCTTGCCGCATCCCTAGATCACCGCCGGGGCTAATGGTCCAGAACCCAGGTAGATCTTGAAGAGGCTGAGAAATCGAAGCTGCGATGGACTCCTTTGTTCCGGTATAGGCACCCGGCCAGAGAAAGTTTGCAGATGTTTCTCCAATTTCTGAGAAGCTGTATTGAACGTCCCGATTTGGAATGCTGGATTCGGGGACAGTCCCGTTGCCCGGTACCGCAAAGAAGTCGCTCGGTAGACTATCGTTGATGATGGTCTGATCAGCGCGATAGTCTCCAATAAGATGCTTGCCGTTGTAGATGGTCTTGAATCGTTGAGGTATTTGGACCCCGTTGACTTCAGCATAGTCGTGAACGAGAAGGTCATGTGTTGATTTGCCGAAAAAGGGGTGGTCTTCGTAGGATCTAATGATGTAAGGGAGATTCGTGGCAGGATCGAACAGGACTGTTAACTCGAGCGTATCGTCATGAACTGCGATGCAAGTTACAATCATATATGTCGCAAGTTCGTAGAATACCTCTCTTACCTCCTGCTAACGTTATTCCTGCTCCCGTCTCCCCTTGCCGAGATGTGAATTTGTTGTTGGAAAGGATCTTAATGTGGCGATTAGGTAAATCATCAAAGTAACCACGACGAAGACATACTGTGGAAAGAAGTAGTGGGTGCCATTTGTACGCTTCGCTAATCAGGTAGGACGCAAGTAGGCCTGAGAAAACGATCAATATTAGCCCTTGGCGAGCATCGAAATCAAATCTAATGGATAGACTGCTACTGACCGTCGAGGTAACCCTGGGGCTCGCCGGAGGGATTGTACAAGTTGTAGCTGCCTCTAGTGACAGCTGCGTATCCGCTTTCACCACCCTCGGCAACGATGGAAAAGTCCATCGGCATGAGGTTGGCTCTTCCGAAGGTCCATCCGGCTGGCAAGAATTAGGTTGGGCACCATGAGTAGCCTTAAAAGGTAATACTAACGCCCAAGTGCCGCGATCTTGTCAATGCGTTGCTTGACGTGTGTTTCGTCAAAGGCAAAAGAAATGTTTTGTCGGCCTGCTGTTACGGCAGCATTATCCACACCCGCGACGGATATTCCCATCATCAAAGTTCTTCCCCTGAGAATACTACGATCTGTTAGTGGCCGAACAGAACTTAGCCTACGACTCAGCTCACGTTTCGCCGACGTATGTCAGGCTTTGGAGGGAAGAAATTGCTTCACGCCCGCCGAGAGCTTCTATTCCCAGAGCCAGAAGTACTGCGGGATCCTGAGTCGTGCCATTTTGTCGAGAATGGAGGTGTCCCAAGGTGTATTGCGCAGCCGCCAAGAGAACCAAGCTAATATGTCGAACGAACATCGTTGCGATGGGATGAAGAACAGACCAGGAGAAAGCTTGAACAAGATGCGAAGCTTGCTTAGTAGTTATAGATCAGTCAACTCTAGTATCATAATTGCGTCTCAATCAGACTCTGTTGGCCTGTGCAAGGTTTTTCGACTGCTCTTCACCCCCCTCAAATTTAGGTTGACAGAGATGTTGATTTCAAAGCATCGCCATCGTGGTTTGTTGCGTCGCATCTAAATAACGTGGATGGAATGTCTTGGACGGAATTTGACCAAAAAGAGCGGTTTCGACCTAATCACTTCCGTGAGTGCGACGTTTGCTTCCGCTCAAAGTATACCCCAAATGAAGCCTATCACGTATGATAGCTCAGCCAGGGACGGGCTACTCCGGGCCAAGTCTTAATCACAGCACCAGCAGGGCGGATAACTCAAGTCGCCTGACTGAAGCATCCCGCAACCCTTGTCAATATTTCAATGGATGATGACTAGTAGAGTCACCTCCAAATCTCAGATCTTGGCAATATGGGGAATCAGACTTAAGTCAAGGGGGTATCAAGATCACGGGCTGTCTGCACCAGAAACTAAGTCCGAGGAGCTTAGGGCCGAGGAGCATCTCGGCCGGAGTTACTCAGATCACCGTGCGCTACCGACCCGGAGATAAGCCTGCTTACTGGCCCTCGAATAGTGACCCTGAACATTGTGTGAAATAACTCGAAGGAATCATCGAAACCCACTGCGCGTACCCTTTGAAGGAGGCATACAATTGTCTTCACAATTTCATACGGATGAAGAATCTACCTAATATCTATCATGGATTACGTATTTCTACCTAGGTATCGTTTATGCGGAGGTCACAAATTGTGATGTCCCTTAAATCGTGTTTCCCCGAGAATTACTTCCACAATCTATATACGCCTCCCCAAAAGTCTACCGAAGATATAATGTAGCGAGAATACCTTTAAACATCTATCTCTTGACACCGGTGCCGGCGGGGAGCGCCTTGCTGCAATCAGTCAAGTCGTTGATGTTGAAGACACCAAGGAGACTCAAACGGAGATACTGCTTGGCATATGCCTGCAATTTGGTCAGCTGTATTCCTGAAGCAGATGGATCAAGTGAAAACTTACTCCGCCCCAAAGCGGTGCGTTATTAGCGAAGGCCTGGAAGGCCGGGGCCGAACGGGGATCCTTGGACAGAACCGTATCACTGGGGAAGGTCACAACCTCGGCAGGAGCTCCAGCCAAAGTTTGTCCGTAGAAGTCAACATCCCAAATATTGGGCGTGGTGTCCTGCGGGGCGTTGACCTTGGATGTGTCGAAAAAGCGTTGACGGCTGGCAGTGTGTGCCCCGACAAGGGCAGCGAGACCAGGGGCGGTGATGGTCTTGTTGCCAAACAGCTCGATCAACTTGTCGGCAGGGTCCTTCGGGTCTGGAAGTAGACCATCGGGAGCAGCCACGGAAGAGTCCTTGCGGCCGACGAAGGTCTTAATCCTCGGTCCGCCAGGGCATGCCACCGTCGCAGTGTTGGCGGCGAACTGGATCAAGTCTGCCATACCGGCGCCGTGGTCCTTGTACTTGGCGAACCACGTCTTCATCTGCGATACAATCTCCTCCAAGCCCTTGTTAAGTGGGCGCCCGATCTCCTCAGGAGCGAGGACGATGGATCCATCGGCCCCGCCGAGGTCGCCGGTGTTCAAGCTCCACCCAGCAGCGTCATGGAATCCGAGACGGATGGCGGCGCGGGCAGGGTCGGTGCAACCATTATCGTCACGGAACGTGGGCATCAGGTCAGCAGCGACATGTTGCCACACGCAGCACTTGTCCGCGTTGCAGTCAGAGCTGCCGAGCTCAGGGAGGTTACCGCTGGCCGCATCGGACGTGGTAGGCGATCCGGAGCCCGTGAGGATGCCCTTGACATCCTTGCCGACGTCGGACAAGGATCCGTCGGGGATCTTGAGGAGATCACCGAGATTTTGATTGTCTGCGGCACCCTCTCGGCTAGCGAGATGCGCCATCATATCTCCGTGGCTGGCTCCGGCGCCGCCCCGTCCCATGCCGGGGTAGGCAGTGGCGACGGCCACGAGTGCCGTGAGAGCAATGCGTGCTTTCGATCCGACCATCTTGCTGAAGAGGTATGATAACTGGAGGGAGAGAAAGAGAGAGTATTGTGAACGAGAGTATTGTCTGTATTAGAGCGAGTGACTGAATGTTGAACGCTGGAGTGATGATTGATGGCATTAATGGGATCTCAAGTGTCTAATTATACCTGAACTCACAGTAAGATATCGGTGGCAAAGATGCACTCTGTATGCACAGAAGCAACTCATACTCACTCATGGCCGTCAGCTCGGCCCCGAATCGGGAGGCAGGAGCCATTAGCCTGCTTCAGACATTGAAAGCACGGTTAGGATGTTTCGGTCCGCAATCATGTCAATCTGGAGGATCCTTAAAGAGGGCACTGAAAGCTGTGCATTGGCGCAGAAGAACAAACCCAACAGGAAACGTTGACGGCTTGGCCCATGTGTCAGGTAGCTCTTTGGTGAATGTCTCTAGCTGCTTGCCCGAAATGTCATCTTGCGTGGCGTTGTAAGCGTCCCGTCTTCAATTGTCAGTCTGATGCCAGCCTCCAAGTCAGGGCGTCTGAGGGCCCGAGAGCGTAAGCAGAAAACGCCTCAAACTTTGTCCCTCGTGGGATGACTATCCAGCCGTTCTTTCCGACTTTGTTGCTTTTTGAATGAGCTGAAAATGGCGATCTCAGTCGTAAAGGCAATTTCATAATGTTCGGACGCCTCAAGTTGACGTTAGCCTCAAGTCGGCGATCATCCCAACCTCAGCCAACCTCAACGAATGCTTTCTGCAACGAGATTTCTCGGAATAAGATGCCGTCGAAAATTGTCAGAGAGGATGAGAGTTTTATGCCGCCATGCCACTCTTCCTGAATCCTTTCAAAAAGATCGCAAGACTAACCCTAGGGCAACACACTTTTCTATGGAATAAGTGTTTTTCCAAGACGCTTGGCTTAAACGTCAATTATCGTTTCAGACCTTGATTGAGGGTTTTTGCCCCGCAAGCGATGCCAAGAAACACTACAGGGTGAAAGCTGCGGGAACTAGCTATCGAAGGTGCGCCATCGATGTGTCGAATCTGGCGGCTCACGCTGGGCCAAGATCTGGCTAAACGGTTACCTCCCACATCCCGCCAATGAGAACAGACCCAAAATAATCAAGACGTGTCGGCTGTACGGCAGACGATTCCCTCAGCGGCTCACGGTCATCAATCGGCGTCGCTAACGTGGGTGCCGGCCGTGCTCCAGTTTCTCGGACATCCGAGCTTACATGTCTGTGCCGGTGGCATCCAACCCAACCACACCCAACTCTCATTCGGGAGGCCGCACATGATTCCTCTTCCAAAAAGAAAGGAAGAGAAAAGAAGGGGTGGAAACTAATGCACGTGTCGGCCTTTGCCACAATCCCGGCCTTTTCCAAATTGGCCTAGGTCGCCGGCTTCCCGAAATCGATGTTGCACCAATCTAGCCCCGCGCCTGCCGATGGCGTTCTTTGACAGGAACGCGATGACCTTGGATTATGCCTCAGACTTCCGATGACGCGTCTTCGGACTGGAGGCCGTTTCTAAGGCTACTTGGCTTAGCAGCATCTATTGCTCGGAGCTTACCAGCGGGAGAAAACTGTTGAACCTCTATCTTTGTTGTCTCGAGCGTGGACAGCCGATTGGCACTAGATTACCGAAACATCTCAAATCTTTCTCCTCAAGTTCCTGGACCGGCCTCGGGAAGCAGTAGCTCCCGATACCAGCTTTATCTCTCAGGTCCTCCCCGGGAAGATACGCTGGAACTATTCGCCGACATGTACTTGTGGTTAACAGTCTGATCCGTCAAGACACTAATTATGTTACGAATTCAGATGATCAAAACATTTGCCCAAGTATACACGGGCGGCCAGACGAAAGTCCCCTCGAATTTGCTGGCGACAATGCTATCTTTCTTCATTGTCGCAAGTATAGCGCCAAAATATTTAGACAGAGCTTCCCGTCTAAGAATTCGCTCTCGCCGCTCAAATCACTTGCAATCTTACTTATTCCTCTTCTTCATCTACATCTCTGTCCCTCTAACGTTCAGAGGCAAGATCTTGTTTGGGAAAATTCACACAATTACACCAAGTACTTATCGCGTAAGGACGTTGTTGCAGCATCTTCATGACATACCTTATTATTACGATACTGCCTTTTTTTCTGTCATCATGCGGCAATTAGTTATGGGCAAGCAATTTGTCGTTGCAACTTCTCAACATTTCTCCTTGAGGAATGAAGTTAGTCAGGCATCTATATATACAAGTCCATGGAATTTGGAGGCGTATTAACCTCAAGTATCGGAATAAAAGAGTGCGCTCGAGTTCGATTGGGTCGCCACGGGAACCAAAGCAGTCAGCTTACGTGCAGAAGATCTACACACAGCTATGTAACACCATGTTACTCCAGGCTGTGCTGCTGTATGATTCAATGCTACCTCAGATTCATGGCAAAAGCGGTGGGCGGCTAGCCTAAGACACAATTGGCGCTACATCCGGTTTTCGGTTGGAGAAATGGTCGCTTCTTGCATGCTTTTTGCGACATCAACTTTCAAAGAGGACTAGGGTATTCTTGAAAGATAACGAGACAGGCGGTAAGAGGGCCGGAAAGGATTCACAAGAAAAGCTTATAATACCGCGCAGAGTTGATGTTTATTTGTCCCTTGGATGTCAATCTGTTCAATTCTGCAACGTAAATCACTAATGGCGTCTATTGTAGATACCGACAGGATTGGAGCAGACGCGATCGGGCGCAGAATAGATGGTGCTGATGAAAAGACATTGATCACTCGTTCTGAGGAATACGGCGAACAGCAACAGCCATCTGGTCTCGAGGTCCTCTAGCCCAACTTCCAAGCATCTGTTTTCGAAGTCTAATAGTCTCGCAGCGATACATTAACCATTCCTCTGTTGTAAACTTCGGCGTAATCAT